GGACAACTATTGTATGATTCTACTTACATGTGATACCTAGAGCAGTCAAATTCATAGAAACAGAAAATAAAATAATGGTTACCAAGAGCTAAGGTGGGGGAAGGAGGAGCTGTTATTAAACAGATCTCAAATTTGAGTTTTGCGAGATGAAAGAGTTCTGGATATTGGTTACACAATAATATGAATGTACTTAATACTACTGAACCATACAATTAAAATGGTTAATGTGCTAGTTTACACTCACTCAGGGTGAGTGGTTCACTCAGAGTGGTGGTAAAAATGTTAAAGGAAAAGTATTAGAGAAAATTATAGAATATAGTCTCAAACCTTTTTAGAAGGCCTAAAGGTTTTTTCTATAGTTCTTGGCTGCAGTCCACCTTGTCCCCTTAGTTAAATAAATTAGAGTAGAAACAAAGGACCGTAAAAAGTTTACCTAACTAATTTGTTTACTCAAGCAGTCTTAACACTAACCTTTGAGCCAGACAGCCCTCTCAGAAAGAAGTCGACCAAAGACTTGGATTTATGCCTCTGGCCGCAAAAACATTTTAGTATTCTCAGGCACCATGATAAATTCATGTATAAGTTGTATAGCAGGAAGACCGGAGGAGGAGGTGCATTATAATCAATGTCACCAAGTTGTTAATAATGATTAGCCTTGGGAAATTCTGCAGTAATCAAAACTGTTAACAGTCACAGGTAAGAAAGGCAAATATTATGGGGTCTCTTCAGGGCCTAAAAAGGCCTATTGAGTCCAGGCACAGTGACCCATGCAGTACCCTCTAATCGTGTTTGCTTTAGTCTCAGAACCTGTCCTTTAATCTTCAGCCTCTAGAATTGTTGACTCAAGGCTCTATCAATGAAACTTTACTGAATAAATGCAAGTCTCACTTGCTGATGAAGGCCAGCAGTCACACCTGTATATGGCACTCTCCAAAGAGTCTGTAAGCTGCCCAAACACTCAGCCAGACTAGTAAAGCATAATATTTGTGTGTCAGTGTACATTATTCGTCATCACTAAGTCAAAGTCTGCAAGACAGACCCCTGCAAGTAGTGACTCAGACAGTTAAGATGGTAAATTTTACGTTATATTTTACAACAATGCAAATATTTAGAAACCAAGCATGGTGGTACATGCCTGTAATCCCAGTTACTTGGGAGGCTGAGGCAGAAGGGTCACTGGAGCCCAAGAGTTTTAGCCTGCAGTGCACTTTGATGATCTCACCTGTGAATAGTTACCACACTCCAGCCTGGACAACCCTGTGTCTAAAAACAATACAATATTGTTTTTAATTTTACATAAAAATGCAAAGGGTTTGTACTTACAACCCTCCTTTGTAAGAGAAGTCAACAAAAAGTATCCATCTTACGCCTCTCTCCCTTCCTCCCACTTCCTCTACCCAAAGGCAAGCAATACTCAGTCTTTTCTTTTACCAAACATACTCCTCCTGAAGACCTTGTAAAACCACATATGTCCACCTCTTGAAGTTGGAAATCATTATGTGACTTGATCTGGCCAGTTAAATATCACTTTGGAGCTGATGCTTTAAAAACCAAGGAATGAATCACCATCACCTCTCACCTTGCTTTGATAAGCATGGAAACTCACAGATGGAGACTCTCTCAGCCTGGCTCCCTGAGTGAGAATGAGATTAAGGCAAAGTCCTTCCCAGACAACCCATGATAAACAGGTTGCACAGTAAGAGATAACTCTTTGTTGTTTTAAGCCATGGAAAGCTGTGGTTGGCTGTTACCATGGCATAACCATGCCTACCTGACTAGTATATTTGACATGGCTGGTATTGTTTGGGGTGGCCAAAACGATTCTTTCCCCTTGCACCTTCTCTTGCTAACATACTGTATTTGCTTACATAGGCTAACTATGAAAACATAAACTCCATTACAATGGCTCAGATTCAGTAGAAGTTTATTTTTTCTTCACATAATAGTAGAAAGCTGATGAATAGGTGAGCAGGGTGGCCTTCCTCCATGCAGTCATTCAGATTACTGACGGCCAACTAGTGGGATCACTGACACATTCAATATGAAGTTTCCAAGGTTGCCCTGAGGTCATCTCCCTTCCAGCCAACCAGAAGAGAAAAGGAACGTGGAGGAGCACATAGGAGATTTTGAGGGACCGGTGCCTAGAAGTGGAGCACATCACATCTGCTCATGCTTCATTGACAACAATGGAGTTGTCAGACCATGCCTCTCTACCAGGAGTCTAGGAAAGAACTCTGGCTGAGTGCCTTGGAATAAGAGAAGAATGTGGATTTGGGGGAGCTGCCAGCACTTTCACCCCACAGACCCTGCCCCTTGGCATTCCACCAAAGGACTAGATGTGTGCCCCAAACTAGGCCACTTGGAACTCTTCCCTAGGGGCTTTTCTGTGGAGCTGACAGGAAGCTCTGTCTTGGCCTTGGGGTCAAGGTGCAGGAAAGATGTGAACTTGGAGCTATTAGCAGCCTTTTCCCTTGGCAAGCGAGAAAGTACATTTGTTATCAGAAAAGGTGAGGGAAAACACAGAGATTTGAGGCTGACAGAGGAAGAAATCCTGGTGGCATTGCTTGGGACCTAGATTCAGTACCTGATGCCAACCCCCCCCTCAGTCTTGCCTGTTATGTGACTCCTTTATTGTTTGACCTGTGTTGATGGATGTCTGTCACAACTGAAAGAATACCGAGGCAATTAGCTCCTGCAAAAATAACCTGTTGTGGAAAAATGAACAGAGTTCTGTGGAGTGGCTCACTGTGTGCGAAAGGACTCTGGTGCAGGGAGAATCAGAAGAGCTGACATCTCTCCTTGTCCCTGCCACTAACTGCCTGTGCGGCCTGAAGTAGAGCAATTTACCTCTCAGATCTCAGAGTTCACATGAGTAAAACGTGAGGCCTGGGTCAGGTCTCAAAGGATCCTCTTGGCCATAAAAATCAAAGACTTTGTCTATACTGTTAGTGTCCTGACATAAATATTTCTTCCCAAAGAAGACACAGGGACCTATATCTAATGCTGGCTTCATTGTAAACACTATCCTTATCTCTCCTAAATTTTCTTGACAACAGCATAGAAGATAATATGTATATCCATTTCCTAAGGCCTCTGTAATAAATTACTACAAACTTTGTGACTTTCAATAACAGAAATGTATTCTCTCATAGTTCTGTAGGCCAGAAGTATGAAATCAAGGTGTTGGCGTGGCCACGCTCCCTCTCAAAGCTGCAGGGGAGAACCCATTCTTGCCTCTCAGCTTCTGGTGGCACTAGGTGTTCCTTGGCTTGTAGCTGCCTCATTCCAATCTCTGCTTTTATCTCCACATGGACTTCCCCTCTGTGTGTCTGTGTCTTCTCTTCTGTCTCTTGTAAGGATACTTGCTGTTGGACTTATGGTCCACCCTGATAATCCAGGATAATCTTATCTCAAGATTGTTAACTTCATTACCTCTGCAGAGATCCTCTTTCAAATAAGGCCACATTCACAGGTTTTAAGGATTCCGATGTGAGCATATATTCTGGTGGGGGTGGGGGAACCGTTCAGTCAGGAAAGTATGTGTGAAGATCATGTGAAAAGCTCTAAAAGAAGCCCATGCCTTAATATATGTTATGGGCACCATCAATATGACCTAAAAGAAGACAGAAAATAAATTATCACCAGCTGAATATTCCCTTCCTCCACTCTGTCATGTTAATAGCCCACGTGGAAAATTCCAGAGCTAAAGAAGTAGCCAGGTGGCTCTTTTTTTGTTGTTGTTTTAAACAAAAGATCTCAAAGTGGGCCATATCGTCCATCTCATTGTTTGCTCCTTCCACGTAAGTGCTAATGTGTTTGATTATATTCTGCTCCAAATTCCTCTACAACCACTAATCAGGAATACACAGAGAATTGACTGTGTCCAAACAGTTCTTTCCTCATGGCCTCATTCTTCTTGAATTCTAAATGCCTGTTGAAGAGAAGCATTAGAGTGCTTATTTTCTGAAAACAAGCTGGAGAGCAATCACCTTGTCTTTTCAAAGAAGCCATACTGTGTCTGGTTTTTCCATTCCAAAAATAACATAGAAATTCTTAGAGACAGTCATGTGGCAGAGAACCAAGAGTTGGAATGCAAAGCTTTTGTGTTTCTTGTGGAAGGCCTCTTGAGTACTTAAGTAGTTACATTCCATCCTCACAGGAAGCTGAAGAGGGGCAAATGCAGTAAGGAGAGTGCTTAAGGCAGGCCTGGCATTCCTCTTCTGTGAAATGCCAAGTTTGGTCATGTCCTGAAGAAGTTAGGGTGTCCTATGAGAGGTGTTGGCACTGCTGTAGTCTGTGAGGCTACCTGCAGAGAATCCACATCTTCCCAAAAATCTAATCCCCAGCTGCCTACAACTTCCCCAAATTCCCACCTGAACACTGTTTTACTCCTCACCACCCTCACTCTGCAGAATCACACGACAGCCCAACATCGTGTTACTTCACCTAGTGGTAAGCATGCGGATCCATTTTTTCCATTCCCTTTCCTACTGTAGTCTTTCTGTCAGAGGCGTTTGAACCAGAGCACCTCCATCTTGAATAGGGACTGGGTAAAATAAGGCTGAGACCTACTGAGCTGCATTTCCAGGAGGTTAAGCATTCTTAGTCACAGGATGAGATAGAAGGTCTGCACAAGATATAGTTTGTGGGGGCGTGCGTAGAAAAAGAAAAAAAAATTAAGAAAAATAAGATATAGTTCACAAAGACCGTGCTGATGAAATAGCATGAAGTAAAGAAGCCGGCATAAACCCACCAAAACCAAGATGGCAATGAAAGTGACCTCTGGCTCTCCTCACCGCGCATTATGCGCTAATTATAGCATGCTAAAAGACACCCCCACCAGCGTCAGGACACTTTACAAGTGCCATGGCAATGTCAGGAAGTTACCCTATATGGTCCCAAATGGGGAGGAACTCTCAGTTCCAGGAATTGCCCACGGCTTTCCTGGAAAATCCATGAATAATCCATTCCTTGTTTAGCATATAAACAAGAAATAACTGTAAGTATTAGCAGTGGAACAGCCCAAGCTGCTACTCTGCCAATGGAGTAGCCATTCTTTATTCTTTTGCTTTCTTAATAAACTTGTTTTCACTTTACTCTATGGATTCTCCTCAGATTCTTTCTTGTGTGAGATCCAAGAACCCTCTCTTAGGGTCTAGATTGGCACTTCTTTCTGGTAACATCTTCCTGGTGACCATGAAGGGACAACACTGAAGAGATGCTTGACCTGGAGGAAATAGACTACAGCACCAATTGGCCAACTTCGGGTAACTGTTGGGGTACATTTTACCCAGGTAAAGGATGGAATTGGGTTAGATGCCCAACTTAGAGGAGTCAGAGCTGCTTCTAAGACAGTGCGGGTTAAAGGACCCTCTTAATAAAAGGTAAGGATGCTTGACCGAACTCAGGTTCGAGGCCCAACTTAGGAAAGTTAGAGTTCTTTCTAAGATTTAGGGAGTTAGAGGCCCCTGTCAGTAAAGTCCCCCTTGGTTAAAAATGGAATTGGCATTACAGGATGTTAACCACTATTCTCTTTGGATTAACTTGCCTTGCACTCTTTGCTGATGGCTGTGCATGACAGGAGTAGGCATGTACAGGACATAAGAGTCTTTTCCTCCCCAAAAGGGGGAACTTGAGAGCTGACAGAGCTGCTGGAAAAGATCCCTTCGCAACTGACAAGCAGCCACCTAGACTTTAGATTCAGCGTCGCTGCAATGGGTCTTTCTCTGGCAACCTGAGTTCTTCACCTCCCCACCCTGCTGCAGACACTGCTTTTCTCCCTTTCTCTCCTTTCCCTTTCCTATCTTTTTGTTATTCAGGGTGACCATCTTGCCCAGAGACCACATGTTGAAACTCCTGGCCAGCGGTTGGATGAAAGATGACAGGGTCCATCCAGGAGCAAGTTTGAGCCTTGCCAGTTCCATTTTGGGTGCTGAGCAGAGTGGCTACTATAACGAACCTGGTATACTTTGTGCTATGAATTTGTCTTTCTGTATCGCTCTGTCCTAAAGAGGAGTGCCTTAGAATAAAACATGGGCTTAGGACCTCAGTAACAAACTTTGCTGCAGGTCCCTGAAACAAAAAAAAAGCTGGAGGAAGTTTCCCTCTCATCTCGTTTCATATCCTTGGGAGCTTGACCTTGTAACCACATGGTGGTATTTTCTCTTGGTTGCCACCATCCAGCTGACAAGAAACTTGGAATTCATGTCATAGTTTGCCCTAAAAAATTATCTTGATCAGTTCGAAGCCTTTGCAAGCTCTAGACTCCACCTAGGAAAAACAATGGAAACCGCCCAGTTATGTAGCTTAGTGGCTAAGGCTTTGTCTTTTCACAATGACAGCCTGAGTTCAGGGTTCAATTCCTGGCTTAGGGGATGAGTTCTTTCTGGTTTGATATCTGTGTGACCTTTACCTTTTGTTGATTCTCTTCTCTTCCACAAACTGTTTGAAATTTTCCTTTCTCAGTGCACCTGGGAGATTACCTTTGGTAAAGTTCAAAACCTCAGAAATATCGGCCATTTGGCCTGGATAAAGTCAGGTAATAAGAGATTTAAAAGAATTTGTTTTTTAGAGTGCTGTGTTTAAAAGTCAGCTTAATTAAAAGTGGATATTCAAGCCATAACAGCCTGGATCTCCTTGGAAAAAAAGCAGAGGAAGTTCCACAGACCTCGTGTTGAGGAAAACCTCTGTTTTTCTCATGGAACCCCAGAAATTGAAAGCAGATAGATCCCTCTCAAAATCTAAGGCTCTGTTCTGTTTTGCATTGCATTATCTGATGGTTTTGACTTTTAGGGATTTCAGAAATTGCTTCACATTATGAGAGAAGTCTGGTGTGTAATAAATATGTATGAAATATACTTTTGGGGATAGCTAATGGCAGTTATGGGGGAATGCAAGGTTCTTTCATGTTTGAATTAAAGAATCATGCTCCTGGCCACCTGGAAAGTAAGGAAATGTCCCTACCCTGCACTGAGATAACACCCCCATAGGAGATGGGCTGATTCCCCCTTTTTGAAATCCAGGATCTGGTATAAAAATGGGACCCTGAATTGTGGGGGACCTGTTTTGCCTTCCAGCTGTGCCTGCATATTAGGCCCTACAAACTGTGTGCTTTAAAGAGAAAGATAAAAACTGGCAAATGAAAAATCTTACAAGTATTGGATCTTCTTCTATGGATTTACATGTGATGTGTGTGTGATGTTTATATAGGAAAGAACTCTGATCAATTAGCTTAAAGGTAATAAGCACTGAAATCAAATATTTTGTCTGAAAAATAAACACAGAAATGCCTTCACACGACTTTAGTAAGCTTTGGAAAATAAAGACAATTTTAGGAATTATTGGTTAAAAAAAAAAAGACATTTGGTATAAATTAGGCAGGGTGCTAAATGCTTTAGGGTCATAAATTGCTTCTTTGACTTTTGAAAATTGTTCATCTTATCTACTTTGGAGCCATTAGATTCTAGGTAAGGCCTGGGGACATGTAGAGTTAGCTATGCCCCCTAGCTATGCTGGAAAGAGTCAGCTCTTACCTGCATTTCTGTCCGGTGTCCTAGGCTCCACATCTAATACATAATTAAAATCCCTTACTTAACCAAGGTTTTCACCGAAAGTAAAAGTTGCTAAGAGTTAACATTGTAACATGTAATCTAAGACTACAGAAGAAACTGTTTGACATGCAGATTGTGTAAGATTGCCTGTCAACACAACATCCATTCTGTGGTCCATGGATCAAGGACTAATTTCAACTTTCAAGTCTTGTTATTTAAGAAAGGCATTTTTTTTTCAGTCTACGTAGAGACTGCCAAAAATTGCCAACTCTGACTATATTTCAAGTCATCATGGCGAGGTATCAGGAAAAGTTTCCAGTTAGCAATAATCGCGCCTCGGATAAACCTCATTGGCTACGATACTGCCACTGCGCAAAGCTAAGAAAGACATTTTGTAAGATTATAGCTGCCTTAGACAGTGATTCCTCTGATGGATCTGGGCAAAGTAAATTGAAAACCGCTAGAAAGGATTGGCCATTCTAGGTGCCATAGAGGACATCTGTGGGAGGAGGTCAAAATAGCAACATGAACAAGAATTTGGAAGAAGTTGATTCCAACCCTCATGGGTGACTTTGAGGGATCTAGGACTTCAAAGGAGGAAGTCACTGCAGATGTGGAGGAAACAGCAAGATAACTAAAATTAAAAGCCTGAAAATGTTACTGAACTGCTAAAATCTCATGATAAAATTTGAACAGATGAGAAGTTGATTCCTATGGATGAGCAAAAAAGTGGTTTCTTGTAATGGAATCTAATCCTGGGGAAGATGCTGTGAACATTGTTGAAATGACAACATAGGATTTGAAGTATGACATAAACTTAGTTGATCAAACAATGACAGAGTTTGAGAGGATTGACTCCAATAGAAAGATGTTCTACTGTGGGTAAAGTTCTATCAAACAGCATCACATGCCACAGACAAATCATTCATGAAAGGAAGAGTCGATTGATCTGGCAAACTTCATTGTTGTTTTATTTTACGAAATTGCCACAGCCACCCCAACTTGCAGCAGCCACCACCCTGATTGGTCAGCAGCCATCAACACAAGGCAAGACCCTCCACCTGCAAAGATTACAACTCACTGAAGGCTCAAATAAGCTTTAGCATTTTAACAATAAAATATTTTAAGTTAAGATATGTACAATTTTAATTATTTTATTTTATTTTATTTTAGAGATGGGGTCTTGCCCTATTGTCCAGGCTGGAAAGCAGTGGCATCATCATAGCTCTTCACAGCCTTGAACTCCTGGGCTCAAGCAATCCTCTTGTCTCAGCCTCTTGAGTAGCTAGGACTACAAGTGTGCACCACCACACCCAGCTAATTTTTTGTATTTTTGTAGACAGGAGGTCTCCCTCTGTCATCCAGGCTGGAGTACAGACTGTAATTGTAGCTCGCAGTAGCCTCAAACTCCTGGGCTCCAGTGATTCTCCCACTTTGGCCTCCCATAGCATTAGGATTACAGTTGTAAACAACTGTGCCCAGCCTGGTTTTTCAGAAATTTTACTGCATACTTATTAGACTACATTATAGTTTAAACATCATTTTTATGTGTACTGGGAAACCAAAAAATTCATGTGACTGGCTTTAGTGTGATGTTTGCTTTGTTGTGGTGGTCTGGAACTGAACCCTCAATATCTTCACGGGATGCCTCTATCTTGAAGGTCGTGCCTACAGATGGATGTTTTAATGTGCCAGAATTTTCATTTGCTCAAACTGTAAGTGGTTTTTCTTCAAACCTGGTGGTTTTGTGAAGTCGCCACAATAAAAATGTCTGTGTGATGGGTCCATGCAGAGAGCTGAGAAAAGTCATTTACAGATTCCTTTGCACAACCCAAAGCTCCTGACCACCCAAAGCACAAAGAGTGGGTCCCATGTGAAAGAGAGCTGCTTTAAGGGGGCCAAGTGGAATCCACAATGTGATTCCCATGCTCCTGTACGGGGTGGGATGGGAGCCATTGCATTTGCTGATAGCCGATTGTATGCTCTTTGATTTGATCTAGTATCTGTTGTAGAAGAAGCAATGTCCCCTTTAAGACCCTCCTTTCAACCCTCAGAAGGCCCAAAGACAAGTTAATACACGTTGATCAGTCTTCTCCAGCCAGGCAATTTAAGATCAGAGTTCTTTCAAGAAGATGTTCCTCTTCAGTTGTCCCTGGCCCCTAGAGAACCTTTTGCTTCAGATCCTTTTGGTAATGAATGGTGTCTGGTCATTCTCCCCACACTGCCCAGAGCCGCATATGAAATGGAGGATCAAGCCCTTCAAAGGGTGCAGGGCAGAACAAAATACCCACTAGCTTCACATTGAACTTTTCTTAACGACTACTGATCTGCAAAACGCTGATTGAACAAAATTAGAAAACAAAAAAAAGGTTTCTGTTCTGAATTTTGCATGAAAACGTTTTTTACTCACATTATTGAAGGTGGCAGAAGAAAAATATTGCTACGGTTTTCCACTCCCATAAACATATCTGCTCTGGTTCCAAATCAGAAATGCTTTTCTCTTATCACTTCCGCTGCTGGGAAGATAACAAAGCAATTTAGGGCCTACTAGAGAAAGTAGACTTGACCTTGGCACAAATCCCTTTGTCAAGAGACACAGAGGCTGAGCTTTCTCTGAGCAGTGTCTTTGAATATCTTAGTTGACAGTATGATCAAAGCATCACAAGACTGCCAGTTCCAAGACAACTATGGGATTCAGGGGGTTTGCCTCACAGACTGTGCATGAGTGTGGGCCAATACAATGCGCAGGAAAGTGAACTAGCTCACAAAAGCTGAATTTAGGGCTTGCAAGACTCAGGGAAGGGATCTAGGTAAGGAATAGGCACAGCGTTTCATAGACAAGTCCCTGAGGCAAAGTGAGGTACTTCTTATCAAAGGTATTGCTGTGGAAAATAATAGGCAGGGAGTATTGCACTGTTTGCAATCCATTTGATGACCTAAAACCTTGTCTTTGAACAATGCCTGGTTGTCTGGCAGCTGTGTACCAGGACTGCACTCTCCTGGCCATTCCTGGCCATTCCTTAATTACTTTTACCTCCGGGTTACTCCTTTGAGAGACACATTCAGAGCAACCTCTTGAAACCACCTATTGTTTTTATTGCAGGAATGATTTTGAAGGTATTGTCCCTTTTATGTCACCCAAGGGCCTCCTGGGAGCAATAAGAACAGAAGTTCCGGGAAAGGTTCTACTTCTGGATAGCTGGGTTTTTTAAACTTTTATTTTAATGACTGTGTGGTTCTTGGTATTGATGCCATTGTTTACTTTGGTTTCAGCTTCCGAGAAACTCAGAGTCAAACTTGAATTCCACCACTGCAAAGAGCACAGGACCCTGAGGCAAACGTTGTATATTCCCAAGTCATCCCTGGCACCACCTTCATTTACTGCACCAGGCTTTCTTCACTGTGATGATGTTCTCTCTCTCTCTTTTAATCCTGTTTTACTCTGCACATTTCTGCAAGCCACAAAAGTACTCCTTGAAGAATGGATAACATATAAACAAGTGAACAAACAAATCAGACAGGTAATTGATAGAAATAACTTGTTTTAAAATACTTTTACCTCCTTTTTGGAGTTGGGAAAGGAGTAATCTTGCCTTGTCTGTCTTTAAATGGCTGTGTTTGCAAACTAACATCTGCTAGGTTAAGTGAAGAACGTGTTTTTAAGTGACCATTGGTATTTTTAATTTCTGATGAAGGTGACTTTTGGCCTTCTTCCAAGTGATGTGCCATGAAGAACTTCTACTGAGTTCTACAAGAGCATTCTGGGAGTGTTTCCCAAGACAAAGCTGACTTCTAGGTAGCTATGGGGAGTGCCTACAAGCCTGGGCTGCAGTGAAAGTCAACAGGATGGACTGGAAGAGCCAGAAGTCTGTGTGGGAAGTGTCAGCCCCTTCCTGCTGCTTCCTTCCCTTGGTTGGGGTAAATGCTCCACTTCTTCCTCTGGGCCTCAGTTTTCTCATCAGAATAATGAGAAGAGATGCTTACTGGTTAGGTCTGCTTAGGAAGAGACAAAGACAAGTATAGAACTTGCCCTGTAAGAGCAACCCAAGCCTAGCTGACCACATGGAAGGACAGCTCTCCCTACTTCCAAATCTTTCCCTTTCTTCCTTTCTCTCTTGCTTGCTTTCCTTCTTTCCTTCCTTCCTTTTTTCTTTCTCTTTCCTTCATTCCTTTATTTCTTTCTCTTTCTTTATGGAGTCTTGCTCTGTTGCCCAGTATCCATTCAACTGTGGATGAACATCTGGGCTGCTCTCACCTTTTGGCTATTATGAATAATGTTGTTATGAACCCAATGGGTGTACAACTATGTTTGAATCCTGTTTTCCATTTTTTGGGATAGATGCCTAGAAATTAAATTGCAGGACCATGAACATTGTTGTTGTTGTTGTTGTTTTTCTGAGATGGAGTCTTACTCTGTTGCCCAGGCTAGAGTGTAGTGGCACAATCTCGGCTCACTACAACCTCCACCTCCTGGGTTCAAGCTATTCTCCTGCCTCAGCCTCCCAAGTAGCTGAGATTACAGGTGTGTGCCATCACACCTGGCTAATTTTTTGTATTTTTGATAGAGACGAGTTTTCACCATGTTGGCCAAGCTGGTCTCAAACTCCTGACCTCAAGTAATTTGCCCACCTCGGCCTCCCAAAGTGCTGGGATTATAGGTGTGAGCCACTGCGCCTGGCCCATGAACATTTTTTAAAGTGTTTTTATTGCTGAAAATCTTTTGCAGCCACCAGAGTAGAGTGGACAGGAAAAAAGTCTCATGTACCCATCACCCAGCTTCGACCATTACCAATTGATGGCCAAACTTGTTCCCTCCATACGCTACTCCCTCCACCACCAGAGCTCTTTAAAACAAACTGAAAACATCATCTGATGTTTTCACTCATAAGTATTTTAAAGTCTAATTCTAGCAGAAATGATTTAGATGCTTCTTAAAGAGTAACGTATATTGAGTGCCTAATTATTAAACACCAATATGGGTAAATACTCATTGAATAATTAGTCATCATTTTTTGAAACTTTGTTTAAAATTGTAGCCTTTTCAATAAATATTTTATTATTTTCAAACATGCTATAGACTAGAGAAAATTGAACAAAGAATCCCAGTATGCCGTCACCCAGCTTCAAATTCTATCCATAGCAAAATAATATTCTCTTGAAAAATGTAAGTGCTAGGTTGCTCAGATGATATAATGACACTTTATTCCTCTGTAGGAGAGGAGAGGGACTGGAATGGAAGTGACAACGGGGAGAACCTTTTAATTCTGGAAAGGTGTATTACTCACGACTAAAAGCACGTATTTTAAAATCACTGAATCTTTGGTGTAAATGCACATGAATATCAGTCTGAGTTCTCAGCCACAATGTGAGTTGTGGTTTATCTGAGCTCACCTGTCTTTCCTGTCTGGCCCAAGTCCGGGTGACTTTCAGCTTTCCCAAGCTAAATAGTTATTTACAGAAAAAACAAGTTGACATTAAACTAAAGAGAGTGACTCAGAAGTCATCTCTCCTTTTATCATAAGCACAGAAAATGTGCAGTCACAAATTGATGTTGTGCAGATAGATGTCCAACTTTTTATTTAATTAGGAATTTGTACAAATGATTTTATAGACAGAGGCCTTTTCCAGTTTCTTTGTCAATGATTTCATCCCTTGGCTTTTATTGCACAGCAAATCACTCCCAAAATTTAGTGGCTTAAAACTCTTCCATCATCATGATAAAAGAGTTTTCCTTGTTAGATATCAAAACCTATTTGTATGCCATTGATTCTAAGCCATTTTATTATCTTGAAATGAGGCTGCCTCTAGCAATCTATGACATTGTATAACTTGTTGTTCACCAGCAATCATCATGACATTTGTTGCTGCCTTGACAAAATTGAATTTCATCATGGCTGTTCACATTATCATAACTTCAATTCAATTGTGTGGGTGTATTAGTATATGTATGTGTTGCGTTAAGCAATCTTCAAGAAGGTTACACTACAATTATTCATGGAAATGAGAAGTTATTGTGTATCTAGAAAGGTGCTGAAACAGATCAGTTGGGTAGAAAATTGTTATTTGTGAAACAAATGTTCATTGTTGGAGAAATGACCTTGATTAAATAGATATTTCCCTTGCAGAGTTTTGCTTTATGAGACCCATGAAAGAATTAGATGACATTGTGTTACATTTTGTAACTGAGATGCATACAAAAGAATTGCCCAACACACACTAAGACACTTCTCAAAATGGGAGTCAGAGCTTGACAAAAAAAAAATCAGTAATCAATAGTTCCACATTGAGAAATGCTACATCACAAATGCTCCTGATGTAGCATCACAAATGCTCCTGATGTAGTTTCTGCAAGTAGCAGAAAACTTAAAATAACATCAGTTCAACAAGCTATAAGTTCATTTTCAAGTGACATAAAAGAATTTCAGAGGCAGTCTGTACAGGATTGGCAGATAGCTTCACAAAGTTGTTGGGAATATAGGTTTATTTTATGTTGCTGCTCTGCTATTCTCTACACACTACTCCACCTCATGGTGTAACATTGTGGCTTCAGATCCAGACATCATGTCCACATTCCAGATAGCTGATTGGTGAAGTAATGAAGAGAGAGAAAGGGGTAGATTCCAACTGGCTTTTTAGAGAACTTCCCAGAAGTTCTCACACAATATCTACGCTAATTCATTGATCAGAACTCCTAGTTATAAGGATTGCTAATAAATGGATTCTTTATTCAGGTAGCCATGTGTATTAGTCTGTTCTCATGCTGCTAACAGGGACAAACCTAAGACTGGATAATTTATAAAGAAAAGAGATTTAATGGACTCACTGTGGGCGAGGCACAGTGGCTCAAGCCTGTAATCTCTGCACTTTGGGAGGCCGAGGTGGGTGGATCATGAGGTCAAGAGATCGAGACCATCCTGGTCAACATGGTGAAACCCCGTCTCTACTAAAAATACAAAAAATTAGCTGGGCATGGTAGCATGTGCCTGTAATCCCCGCTACTCAGGAGGCTGAGGCAGGAGAATTGCCTGAACCCAGGAGGTGGAGGTTGCAGTGAGCCGAGATCATGCCATTGCACTCCAGCCTGGGTAACAAGAGTGAAACTCCGTCTCAAAAAAAAAAAAAAATGGACTCACTACTCCACATGGCTGGGGAGGCCTCACAATCATGGCTGAAGACAAATGAGGAGCAAGGTCACATCTTATATGGCAGCAGGCAAGAGAACATGCATAGGGGAACTCCCCTTTATAAAACCATCAGATCTCATGAGACTTATTTACTATCAAGAGAACAGCACAGGAAAGACCTGCCCCCATGATTCAATTACCTCCCACCGGGTCCCTCTATGACAAGTGGGGATTGTTACAATTCAAGGTGAGATTTAAGGACACAGAGCCAAACCATATCATCATGAACCTAACTAAAAATCAGAAGTTCCTGCCAGGCGTGGTGGTTCACACCTGTAATCCCAGCACTTTGGGAGGCTGAGGTGGGTGGATTACTTGAGGTCAGAAGTTCGAGACCAGCCTGACCAATATGATGAAACCCCATCTCTACTAAAATTACAAAAATTTGCTGGACATGGTGATGTGCACCTGTAGTCCCAGCTACTCAGGAGGCTGAGACAGGAGAATCTCTTGAACCCAGGACACGGAGGTTGCAGTGAGCCAAGATCACACCACTGCACTCCAGCATAGGCGACAGAGCAAGACTCCATCTCAAAAAAAAAAAAAAAAATCTGAAGTTCCATTACTGAAGAAGAATAGAATGGGTTTGGAAAACCAGTAGTCTCAACCACATGAAAGTTTTCAAGTTTATTGGTACAAAACTATAGCAGTCTTTTTATTTTATAAATCTCAATTGTATCAGTAATTATTTTTAATACTTTGGTCCTAATATTTTATATTAGTGTCCTTTATGTCTTTTCTTGGTCAGTCAGGCTAGCATTTTGTCTGTTTCATATTTTTTGTAAAAGTAACACATTTTAGTATTGTTAATCTTCTTTATTAATTCTTTCTGGGTTTTGCATTTTTCCTTTATTATTTCATTTCATTTGCTTACTTAAAGTTATTCTGTAGTTCTTCTAGCTTCTTGAATTGGATACATAACTCATTTATTTTCAAACTTGTTTTTCAAAAATAAAAAGGAATTAGACTATGAAATAATGAAAAAATATATATTTGGTCTCTGTCTCCTGGTTCCTGGTACAGAGCTCCTAATCCTTTGGAATTTCCTGAGTGATAGGAGTATCTTTTGTTCTAGTGGAGTGACTCTTAGTGAGCTCTTGGATGGCAGCTGGTCACCAGAAAGACCAAGCATAATTAGAAGCATGGAACTTTCAGCCTCAACCCCCATCCTCCAGGAAGGAATGAGGGGATGGAGACTGAGTTAATAGTCATGGCTACCTGATAAAACCACTGTAAAAACCCCTAAATGGGATTCAGAGAGCTTCTAAGTTTTGGAACATGTGGAGGTGCCTGGAGGATGGAGCAGCCAGAGAAGGTATGGAAGCTCCACGCCCCTTCCCACCTGACTTGCCCTATGCATCTCCAGAAGACACCTGACTGTCCATCTGCATCCTTTATAATATCCTTTATATAAATGGGTAAACGTAAGTACAGTATTTCCCTCGGTTCTGTGAGCTGCTCTTGCAGACTAATTGCACTTAAAGACAAGGTCATGGTTGCCCCCAATTTATAGCTGGTTGGTCAGAAGTTCAGGTCAAATATGACCTGGGACTTGTAACTTGCATCTGAAGCAGGGACAGCATTGTGAGAGTGAGCCTTTAACCTGTGGGATCTGACACTATCTCCGGGTAGATAGTGTCAGAATTTAATTACACTGTAGGTCACTCAACAATGAAGAACTGATTGTTGCTGGGGAGAAATCCCTACACATTTTGTTGATTAGAGATGAAGTATTTTGTATCGAATGTATTGGGAGTTAGAGTAGGAAAAACAGTTTGGTTTTCTCCTATCTCAACAACTATACATACTGTTTTAGAGTCAATAAGTTTATATATACTACCTTCCTAATCACTTAGTTCTACACACTATGTAATTCTTAGTGATTTCCTCCTAAACTCAAAAGTTACTCAAGAGATCATTTATAAAGTTCCCAATACATGTATGACTTTAAAATGTCTTTCTAATTTAATTCCATCATGACTAGTAAAATGTCATCTGACCTGAAATATCAGTCTTTGGAAATGTGTTGAGACTTCCTCTGAAAATAGTGATTGGGCAATCTTTTATAAATGACCCATATTATCAAAAAAAATCTAAATCAAGTTAACTTGTTCATTTGATTGTTAAATCTTTTAAATCATTATTTTTTTAAAAGTACATATTTTTATTCAAGGTATGGTAAAATCTTTCAATATGTTTGTGGATTTCTTGTCTTCATTGTTAGGAAAAGGTAAATCAAAGCCACGATGAGATAACACTTCATACCCACTAAGATGGACATCATTTTAAAAAGACGGATAATAAATAACAAGGGTTGGTAAGAATGTGGCAGAACTGCAGCCTTCATCTATTGCTGGTAACAATTCAAAATGGTGAAACCAGTTTGGTAAGCAGTCTGACAATTCCTCAAATGTTTACATAGAGAATTGACCCAGGAGTTATGCTCCGAGGTACATACGTAAGAGAAATAAAAACCCATGTTCACGTAAACATGTACACAAATGTTCATAGCACCATTATTCACAGTAACCAAAATATGGAAACAACCTGAATATCTATCAACTGATTAATGGATTTAAAAAAAAACAGTATACACTTATGAGGAAATATCTTTCAACCATAAAAAGGAATGAAGTACTGATACATGCTATGACATGAACAAATATTGAAAACATTATGCTAAGTGAAAGAGGCAAGTCACAGAAGACCATCACATTGTAAAATTGCATATGTTTGAAACGTTCAGAATAGGCAAATTCATAGAAACAGAAAGTGGATCAGTGGTTCCCAGAGTCTAGGGAGATGGGGAGACTATGGAGTGATGGCTAAGGAGTGAGGGGTTTCTTTTTGGAGTAATGAAAATGCTCTAAAATTCATTATGGTGATTGATACACAACTCTATGACTATACTTTAAAAAACACTGAATTATATACTTTAAATTGGTGAATTATATGGTATGTTAATTAAATCTCAATAAAGTGGTTAAAAATCAGAGGAGTGGAAATCATACACTAAAAAGGTCTGTTTAATGCAAATGAAAGCAAGAAGCATGCCATAACATTTACAAACTTTAAAAACATTATGGTTACTGAAAGAAGCCAGATGACAAAGAATACATGTTGTCCAATTTGGCTTATATAAAATTTCTAGAAAAAGCAAAATGATAGGAACAGAAGGCAAATCAGTGTTAGTCTGTGGCTCAGAATGAGAGCAAGGATTGGCTGTTCACAGCCATGTGGGAAAGTTTGTGGGTGGTGGGAGAGCTCTAACCCTGGCCTGTTGGCTGGTTGTACAACTGCATGGATTCACTAAAACTCACTGGACTTGGTGTGAATATTATGGTGTATAAGTTATACCTCAATTAAGCTGTTTCAAAGAAGAAATAAAATGCTTTCCAATTTTTACAGTTGATAATTATATTCACTGACATATTGTTTCAATTTCTATCCACTTTATCTTGTTTATCTTTTTAGATTAACTTTACTTCCAAAGTGGATGCATCACTTAATAATTCTTTTGGTGAAAGTCTGGGAGTTTTAAACCATCTTAGTTTTTGTATATCTGAATAATCTACATTTTGCTCTCACTCTCTTTGATAGTTGAGATGAATATTAAAACTATGGATTTCATGAAAAACAGTTTTTCTTACCCCTACTTATTGGAGTCAAACTCCTGGCTAACTATGCCGGCTCCCAAAAGTCAAGCCCCAGCAGGTTTGTGCTGCCAATCGCACTATGATTCTGCATTTCTGTTTCATTTGTTCTGCTCTCAGCATGTCTTTGCACCTGGATATGTCTTCCATACTTTCCTTCATCAGGAGTCATTCTCAAACCTGAATGGTCAGCCAAGGATCACCAAACACTTGAGGAAAGCCTCTCACAAAAGAAAGAGATTAAGAAAACAAAAGGAATAAGGAGTTCAGAGGAAACAGACAATGAA